CTCTGGTGTGAAACTATAATTGTACATAAGATCCTAATGGTATAATTGACAATGTGAAATAGGAAAAAAAGAGCTAAAGGTGTAGGGCAAGTGGGAAGGGCAGGGGAAAGGAAATAAGGGAAAAGAAAAAAAAATATGAGAAAATGAAAAAAAAGTATTTGTAAATAGGGAAGGGAGGAGGGGATGAAGGGAGGGTGGGGGTAAGGGGAAAAATGAGAACCAAGGCCTGTCATGTAAAGGTACAAGATCCCAATGATGAATGTAACAACACTGTATACCTAAAAATGTACCAATAAACTCAATGAGAAAATAAATAAATAAATATGAAGTAGTAATTATCTTTAAATAAAGAAGAAGAAGAGCAGCCCAGTGGCTCCCAAAGGAAAGGAGACCAAGAGACCACACTACTAGGTTTGGGGTGACAGCGGCCCAAGGATAAATCAGACTGGAATAGCAAGAAACTTGTCCCATTCTCCTTAGAACACCAGATTTGCCTCCTTCCTTCCTTCCTGTTTATTTGCAACACCAGAAATTGAACCCAGAACTTTCACACTGAGCTTCATTCATCCCCAGCCCTTTTTATTTTAATTTTCCATAAAGGGTCTTGCTAGGTTGCTAAATTGCCCAGGCTGGGCCCGAATTTATAATCCTTCTGCCTCGACCTTGAGTCCTGAGTGATAGGTGTGCTCCACCACTTGGTTCTTCTTCTTGGGACAGGCGCAGAAGCCAGGACCATGCACCAGAGGAGAGTGTTTCCTGCCACCGTGCCGCGCCCCGCCAGGCCTGCCTGCTTCTGAGCATCTTGTCCCAGATGGGTCGCATGACACAGAAGACATATCCAGTTCCTGGAAGGCCAGAGGACCAGTCACCCTCCCCAGGTAATGAGTTACCTGGCTAAGCCACCTTTAGTAATAATAATTAATAATAATGCTTCCACAGGTTTATCCCCAACTCTGCCTCCTAAAAGTTCAAAGAGTAGCCTCCTCCCTTCACTCCATACTACCAGTAGTAGATGGAGTTACCCCTAAGCCAAAACTTCATCCAATTGTGGAATCAAGACTTGGCATCACACAGCCAAGATCCTAGCACCCCCGAGGCTAAGGCAGGAGGATCACCCTGAGTTCAAGGCTAGCCTGTGCTAGATAGGCAAGACCCTAATCTCAAAAAACAAAACAAAACAAAACAAAAACAGGAGATCAAAAAGCAAACAAATATTGAAGGAGATACTGAATGGAATAAAAACCTAGCTTGGCTGTGTGATTTGTCATTTAACATCTCTGGGTCACAATACCCCAAAAGGGGCAGAGATTTAGCTCAGTGCTTCTGCTGTCTGCCTCACAAGCCCCAGGTCCTAAGTTCTATCCCCAGTACAAAAACAAAACAAAACAAAAAACAATGTCCCTATGTAAGGACACCATCTCCTGAGCCACACAGGCAGCTAGGAGCAGGGTCTGTTTTCCTGTTTCCTAAGTACAATTCCTGCTCCACCAGTTCTGTCTGAATGGTACAAGCAAGTCACTAAGCCTTTCTAAAGCCTCCATTTCATCACCTGTAAAATAAGGATAATGATATTTGCCTCTTGGGAATAAATGAAAGATTCAAAGAAGAAAAACTACTTTAAAAGGACCCAGCTTGCAGTACTCCTACTACAATTAGACCACCTCCAAAATTCTGGGATCCTAAATAAAACCTAGTGGGTCAAAATCCCTTGTTTCTCAATTTGCTTTTGAATCGCTCTCTGATGCAAGGAAAAGAGCAGGAACTTCCGGTGTGAGTCCAAGCCTACCCCTTCACCTGCACCTTTCTACCCTAAAAATCTGGCAGTCGGTCTGAGCCAATGTGGGATGATGCAGATTTTATACCAGGTAGCACTGACATCTGTGTGTTTTGATGCAAAAAATCATTAATGTGTTTACTTTACAGGGCCCACTCTTAGACCTGCCACAGGAAGTGGGATTTACACCCTGCTACCTTCTGAAAAAGCCTGATAGTCTCACCCTTAATCCAAAACTAACACTTTGCAAAAGGTTTATTAACAAAGGGGGGAAACTACCATAGAGGATGGGAAACAACATCAGCCTAGAAATAATTGAGGGCAGGGAAGACAAAGGGCGAAGAAAGCAATTCCCAGAGCCCAGGCTTGGCGCTTCTCTGCGGGATATCAGCTTTCATTTTAAAAGACACCCAAAATCCCCCTCAAGTGCTTCTAAAACCCAGGCCTCTGCAGCAGAACAAACCCATCATTGTACCAGGGCTGCTGAAGGGTCAGGAGCACCCAGGGAACAAGGACCTCAGTGGGCTTTGTGACCAACTTCAAAGCTGGCTGGGATCACTTACCTGTCAAAGCTCTGAAGGAAACCAACAAAAAAGGGAGACAACCCTGTATTTCCTGTTAATGCTGCCACCACATCAGTTCATTAAATTCATGGCCTTATTTCCTGTGGGAGGATACACTAGGTCCAAAGCTACCTTCCGGTGGCCACTTGGACAAGCTCTCCACTGTCATGTTGGCTGTGTGTAAGTGCTCAGAATACGGCAAGAACATCGCCCACTTCCTCTGGAATTCAGACCCACTGTGGACCCATGTAACATTTCCTGAGGCTTCACAATACCCTCTTCTCAACACAGAGATGAGGAAGGGAATACACCTTGTAAGCCAAAAGAACCGAGGCTCAAAGACACATAACCTCCTCATGACAGCACTCACAGGTGAGCCACCTATAGTATGGGTCATGGGGCTGGGCCTGACATAGGGGATGGGTAGGGAAATGCACCCCCAGAGTGTTTCATATCATGGTGAAAAGAAGCTTCAGATCCTTTATGTCCTGTGTCAGACTCAACAATGGCCACAGCATCAAAGCTATATATTAACAGTGGCTGCCATATTGGACAGCGCCAATGTTCCACAATGCACTATGCCAATGCTGAAATAAAGATGGTTGGGTTGGGCTTTGCCACTAATAACTGAGAGAGTCTCAATGAAAACTTGGGTTAGAATTTTTCTGTCACCTCAGAATTTTCTATCCCATATTGGAGTCCTTGGGTTGGGCTTTGGTGGTAACAGTGGTGAAGGACTAGGGCTGGGGATTTAGCTCAGTGGTGCTGCCACCTACCTCGCAAGCACAAGGTCCCTTGTTCGATCATAGGTACCAAAAAAAAAAAAAAAAAAAAAAAAACCCTCAGCGAAAACTCTCTAAACTTTAACTTTTCTTACCCTGAAAGTGGACGACCTGGCCATGCAAACTTCAAAAGCCTCTGCAGTGGTTACTATACGTGAACATTCCCAAGTCATGCTTCCAACAACCTCTGTTGGGCCTTTGCATACAGCAGAGGCTAGACAGCTACAGTCATCTCCTCCCAGACTTCCTTGCAGCTAGGGTTGAACTGTGTGTGAGCTGGGTTTGTGCTTCCAATTACACACAC